GGGGGGGTGTTTATGAACAGGGAAGAATGATAAACGCCTCTCCGAGAAGAAGGGGGGGGTGGACGAGGAAACGCTCTAAGCCACTCACGCCCAGAGGGCTGGGGGAGTACGAGGAGCAGCCCCATGAACGTTTAGTAGGAGTGCATGCGGCGCTAGGGCGAGAGCCACCTTTTCAAAACCACCCGCCCTACATCCGTGTAACTGTTGCTAAATGTGCGCGGTGCGCTTGGAGCAGGAGCCATCTTTGGGCAACGCCCCGCTCTCCACCCGTGTGGTCGTTGTACAACTGTGAGACGAGTGTGCATGACGTTGAGGCGAGAGTCACAGATTGAAAACGTGCCGCGCACCATTCGTTGAATTGTTGCTCACATGCAAGGGCGCTACGGCGAGAGCTACATTTTGAAAACGGCCGCCATCTACTAGTGGAAATGCTAAGGTCCAGGATCGCGGAGTGTGAGGAAGCCTCAGGAAAAACGCCCGGTACGCTCTAACGGCACGTCTGGTGACGAAACGTGGGTGAATTCATCGAAAGGAGGACGGATGGAGCAGGAGAAAGCGTAGAAGGAGAAGGAAAAGGAGGATAGAGGAGGAGGGTCGACGAAAAGGAGAAAGCTGAGAAGAAGGGATGAGGAAAGAAGACAGCGAAATAATGATGCTAAGGATGAGATGGAAGGAGTGAGAGGGAGCAGCATATGGAGAGAGAGAGAGAGGAGAAAGGAGAGCCAGGAGGAAGGAAGAGGGGGGAGGAATAATGAGAAAGATAAAGAAGCAAGAAAGAGGAGGAGGAGAAAAGAGAGGGAGAAGGAGAGATAAGGGAGGAAGTGGAAAGAGAAAGGAAGAAGGAAGAGGATCTCTCTTCCCTCGCTCCCTCCCTCCCTTCTCATTAATCGTCCTCCTGCCTCTGCCATGGGAGGCTACGAGGGGAGCGAACAGCCTGGAGGTGGGTGCGGGAGGGGGTGCTCCACGCACTCGCTACCAAACAGAGTCGAACAGCCGTGCAGTTAGTGCCCCCGGATACGCTCAATAGCCCTTCCTGGGCTCTCCGCCCTTGCTACAGACCCCGGCCCGTTCTCTCCTCCTCCTCCTCCACCTCCTCCTCCTGCTCCTCCTCCTCCTCCCATACCCGCTTCCTTCCACGCTCCACCTCTCTACATCCCTCCCTCCTCCTCCACCTCCTCATCCTGCTCCTCCTCCTCCTCCTCCATTCCTTTTCCATCTAAATAATTTCTTCCTGTCGCACCCCGAGGCCAGTGTTTAGGGCGGGCCGGACGTTCCGCTTAAGATTTCCTCACCACTTACGACCCTGAATTTTAACAAATTGACAACAGGTTCACGGATGGAGGGCGGATCGTTTTCCAAATGCGGCTATCGCCTCAGCGCCGCGCACATTCTTTCTCAAAATTTGCACGAGGTTCACGGGTTGAGGGCGAGTGGTTTTCAAATGGTGGCTCTCGCCTTAGCGCCGCGCACGTTCGTCTTGACCATTTGCAAGAGTTTCACGGATTGGGGGCGAGTGGTTTTCAAACTGAGAAATTGCAAGAGCTTCACGGATTTAGGGCGGTTCGTTTTCAAAGTGCATTAGCGCCGCGCACATTCGTTTTTAGAAATTGCAAGAGCTTCACAGATTGAGGGCAGTTCCTTCTCAAAATTTGACTCTCGCCTTAGCGCCGCGCACATTCGATCAGCGCACCAGAAATTTTGTTTTGGAAGGAGTCCGCACTATAAGGGTACAACAGTTACGTTGGCTCGCGGTGCTGAAGTCTCAGGAATGGCGTTCTGGGAACATTCAGAATCGTCAAGACGCAACAGTCAGGTTGATCCGTGGCGTTGAAATCCCGAGAACAATATTTTGGCATGCTTCAGGCTCTTCAAACGGTTGCCTTCCAACGAGGCAGTACCCTCAATGGAAATGAACCCTTTTGTAAAGGGGCCTGTGGAGAGGGAGCCCGGAGGGAGGGTTTCTTCCAACACCGTTGATGATTATTGGCTTTACATTGGTCCTCATCCTCATCCTCCTCCTCCGCTCCTTTGCCTTATAAGCAAAGCCTCCGCGGTTTTAAGAATTTGGCTCCTCGCCTTAGCGCCACGCACATTCGGTTTAAAACTGTGCAAGAGCTTCACGGAGTGAGGGCGGCTCGTTTTCAAATTGGGGTTCTCGCTTTAGCGCCGAACACGTTCGCTTAAAAATAGCAAGATCTTCACGGATCTAGGGCTGTTACTTCGAAAGGTGAGTATCGCCTTAGCCCCGCGCACATTCGTTTTAGAAGTTCGCAGGAGCTCCACGGGTTCCCATTGTCGATGTACCTGAACTATTGATTTGGAAGGACTCAGGTTTGTGAGGGTGCAACAGTAGCAGTGATGGTGTTTTGGTACGGCTAGGGATCGCCAAGACGCAACCGTCAGATTGATCCTTGGTGTTTTGGCATGCTTCAGGGTCTTCAATCGGTTGTTTCCCAACGAGCCGGTTCCTTCAGCGGAAATGAACCACTGAATGGGGCCTGAGAAAGGGTGAGCTTGGATTAAGAGTTTATTCTGTCATCGCTGACGAGCCTTGAGATTACATTGGTCCCTCCTCCTCGTTCCTCCTCCCGCCTCATCCCTCCTCCCGCCTCATCCCTCCTCGTCCTTTTCCTCCATTACTTTCCCTTATCGGCAGCTCCTCCCTGCCGCATCCCAAGGCGTGTCGGTAGGGTGGGCCATGCGTTTCGCTTGATATTCTTTACAACTTATGATCTTGAAAGACGAACGCAACAGCTTCACGGATGGCGGGCTGGCCGTCTTCAAAACGCGAGTATATTTTCAGCGCCGCGTGCATTCGGTTCAAAAACTTGCAGCGATGTCACGGATGGGAGGTGGTTGGCTTTCAGCATATGTGTCTCGCCTCAGTGCCGTGAACATTCGTCTTTCAAGGTTGCAGAAGTTTCGTTGATGTAGGGTGGCTCCTTTGAAAAGGTGTCCCCCGCGCGAATGCCAAGCACATCCGCTTGGAAATGTTCCAACGTGTTCACTGACGGAGGGTGGCTCTTGTCCACCATGTGGTTATTGTCTTAACGCGGCGCACATTCGTCTTTAAAGTTTGCAACAGCGTCAAAGGTTCTTTTGGTGGGGGTCCCAGGAACGTTGTGATGGCACAAATCAGGGTTGTCATGACGCAGCAGTAACGGTGTTTCGCGGCGTTGTGGTTTTAGGAACTGTGTCCTCACATAGCTCATAATCTTCAGGACGCAAAAGTAACGTTGATTCGCGGACGTTAAAGTCCCAGGAACGGCGTTGTGGCACGAGTCGAGATTATCAAACGATTGCCTTCCAATGAAGCATTTCACGCAACGAAAGTACACGCTTACTGGCACCCGTGAAGAGGGAACTTGGAGAGAGAGTGGATTGCAACATCGTTGCTGTGTCTTGGGTGTATACTGGTCCTCCTTCTCCTCCTGCTCCTCCTCCTCCTTCTCCTCATCCTCCCCCCTCCTCCTCCTACTCCTCCTCCTCCTTCTCTCCCTCTCCCTCTTCTCCTGCTCCTCTTCTTCATCGTCGCCCTCCTCCTCTTCCTCCGCTTACACCTCCTCCTTCTCCTCCTGCTCCTCGCCTCCTCCTCCTCATCATCATCCTCCCCCTTCTCGTCCTTCTCATCTTCCTCCTCCATTTCCTCCCTCCTGAAACTCATATTGTAGGCTTCTCTTGGGCTTCTCTGGGGTCTCTTGAGGGCCTATGAAAGCCGTCTGGGGGGGCCGTTGGGTGTCAGTTGGCAGCTTTGGGGGCCTTTTGAAGGCCGCTCGGGGGCCTCTTGGGAGCCTCTTGGGGGCGTCGTGGGGGCCTCGGGGGGCCTCCTGTATGCCCCTTTGGGGCATGCTGGGGGTCTGGGCGGCAATCTTGGAAGGAAGGCCTGCCAAGGCTGGTTCGAGCTCCCCTCTTGGACGTTCTTGGGGCCTTATGAAAGCCTCTTGGGCCGTCTTGGGAGTTTCTTGGAGTGTATTGAGACCCTCTTGGGCCGTCTTGGGGTCCTCCCGGACCTTTGCGCCGTCTTGGAGCCCTCTTGGGGACCTCCTGGGTCGTCTTGGATTCTCGCAAGCCCGAAAAGGCGAGCGTGTTAAGAATCCTTGAAAAAACCGGCGATACCTGATGTTTGTCTCTTGACGGCCTCTTGGGAGTCCTCTCGAAAACCCTCTTGGGGCGTCTCGGAAGCCTCGTGGGCCGTCTTGGGGGCTTCTTGGGCAATCTTTGGGCCCTCTCGGAGTGTCTGGAGGCCGTCTTGGGCAGTCTTGGGACCGCCTTGGAGGCCTTGGGGGCTGTCTTGGGGCGAGCTTAGCGGACGGGTTTTGCCTGTCGGGGCTGTCTTGGGGCGTTGTGGGGGCTGCTTGGGCTGCCTTGGGGTGTTTTCACTACTTCGTTCAGGGCCCCCCCTCGGCCAGAACTCATCCAAGCAGTTTATATTTGCTTTGCGGCAAATGGCCCAAACTAGTTCTGGAGAGGGGAGACGCTTTTCAATGGGGGCGTGCGAGGAGGGGATGGGCCCAGGAAACATTTAAGAAACCCTCCTGACAGCAGAGGAGCATTCGAACACGCCCCAAAGTGGCAAACACGGTGGCGGATCTTCTCCTCCTCTTCTTCCTCCTCCTCCTCCTTCTCCTCCTCCTCCTCCTCCTCCTCCCCCTCCTCCTCATGATGGTCGCGTATTTTCGGTTCCCTCGTCCTTCTCCCCGCACCCTTATCATTCATATCTACTCGCTCCCTCTCTGCCTCCCTCACTCCCCGTGCGATCGACCACGAGGGAATACCGGTCCAGCCCATTCCTCCTCCCTCAAAGCCCCGGCGTCCAGAACGCCATCCAGAAGCATCCAGCCCCTGGCTCCCCCCCAACGACGACGACGACGACGACGACGACGACAACGACGACGACGACGACGACGACGACGACGGCGACGACGACGACGACGACGACGACGACGACGACGACGACAACGGCGGCGGCGACGACGACGACGACGGCGACGACGACAAGCAGCGAGTTTCCTCTCGAACCAGGGGCGCCGCGCGCGCGCCCTGGCACGGCTTTCGCTGCAGTGGGCCAGAGGGGGGTCCGGAGGGCAACGGGGCCCCAGACGGGGCCCCCGCGAGGCGGCCTCTCGTCCTGGCGCCCAGACATCCGGCGGGTTTGCTCGTTTTGTCCTCCTCCTCCTCCTCCTCCTCCTCCTCCGCCTCCTCCTCCTCCTCCTCCTCCTCCGCCTCCTCCTCCCCACCTTTTTTAACCCGTGTGCGGCCTCCGGGAGCTGCGTTCGGGCCCCACGGCCACCGAACCCCCCCGGGGCAGGAGCCGAGACCTCCGGGGCTCGCGGCGTTGAGGGACCACGTCGTCGGGATGTGTTTGGTAAGTCACTCCTTCGCGGTCTCTCGGCCTGGGTCAGGGCCCTTCGAGGCCGACGCTTGTGCAAAAGTCGAAGACCTCCCGACGTCATGATTTGTTCGCAGCGTGGCTCCCTCTAGCTCTGGACCCCTTCCCGGTGACCGGCTTCTCATCCCGAGCCGTTTTGTGAAGGGCCAGGGGCGCAGTGACGGCTCCCGGAGGCCGAAGATTCCTAAGGCTTCGCGTATCCCAACCAGCTCATCCAGAAACGATGCCGAGGAGCCGAGGAGAGCTGACGAGAGAAAGGAGTAAGTAGAGACACATATAGTGAAACTAAGGAGGCAACAAGGGTGAACTGAGAAATCTCTGGGGGCGCGGAAGGGCCCTATGGGCCATCTCTTGGGCCCGCGTGGGAGGCGAGGAGGAGGGAGGAGGCGCAAGCCTTCTGGAGACGCTCCTGGGTGCTCTTGTGGCCCTCGTGTGCCCCTCTTGGGGCTCTCTTGTGGCTCTCTTGGGTCTCCTTGGGGCCTCATTGGGGCCTCAGAGACCCATTGGATTCGAAAAAGCGAGAAGGCGGACAGCTTTGCTTTCGCCTAGGTTCTGGGACGATTTCCACCTCCTGGGGGGGGGGTCCTATTGGGGGCTCTGGGGGCTCTTTGGGCCGTCGTGGTCCTCTAGGGACCTCTCGGAGGTACGTCAGAGGCTATCTTGAACCATCTTGGAGGCCACTGTGGGGCATGTAGGGCCCTCTCGGAGCCACTTGGGGCCAGCGAGCCTGGCGCGACCCCAATTAGAGGAAAGGTTCCTGCTGCATGGGCGCACTGCTGGGCACGTTGCGTGGCATGGCTTGGCAGTGCGTGGCGATGTCACGAGGAGCCAAGACATGAGGAGGAAGCAGGAACATCTACATGAATTACAAGTGGTGGACTGTTCTTCAATCACCGGACGTTTTGAGGGTCAGGGGCGACGTCGGAGTGGTGTGGTGTACACATGTTTGTCCCCCTTCCCTGGGAAGCACCGAAACATGTATACACCCAGATCCCGTATAAGCCAGAATCTGCGCTCCTGTGCGAAATGTCAGTGCAGGGCCGGAAAAAGCGTCGGTGTATGTAGAGTTCGCTTCCTTACCATTAAGCCGGGCATGTCCCTCTACAGGCGGAATATTCCAAAGCAGTCAAAACATAGTCTGGGGACGATTGCTCCTAGTAGTTTTGACTAGTCTGGGGTATTCTTGGACTATCTATTATCTGTCGTCCCGAACCAGCCTGCAGGAGGCCATGCCCGACCTAGGTATAGCTCGTTCCCCCACTGAGAGCCAATGATGTTCCAACCTACTTTAGCCTTGATCACCAGAAGGAACTTCGAGCACCAAGAAAGTACCGAAAGTCGATGGGTTTTCACGTGTCGGGCCCTGGTACACACTCGTTCGACACTGTTTCGACACTGCTTCGACACTCCTCTAGGTGCTCGCATTTCTTTCTGGGATGTGGCCCTCAAGCACGATGGGAGCCGCGTAAGACCCGGGGAGCCGGAGAGCCCAAGCCCGATGAGCCCAGGAGCCGAGGCCGGGGAGCCCCTTCGGGAGCGCCGGCCGGCCGGCGCAGGCTCGGCACCCCCAGAGCTCTCCAGGGGACTCGGGGGCGGCCAAGAGAGGGGGGTGGTGACTGAGGGGGGGGGGGTGGAATGTCATGGCGCGGGCCATGACAGTTCCCCAGATTTCATGGCGCCTCTTCTCATCTCATGGCTTACCTGGCCCCCCCCTGGGCCGCGCACGTGCCGCCGGCCATGATCTGCGCCCCCTCCCCTCTTGGCCGCCCCCCTCTTGGCAGCCCCCGAGGGACAAGTGAGCGACGCAAGGAAAAAAAACGTGGTCGTCTGCGCCGACATGTGGGGGAAGGCTTCTTCGAAGCACCCCTGCTTCTCAGAAGGCGCGGGCCTTATTTATACAGATGTGAGGCCGGCGCCTTCTAAGGAGCAGCCTCCTTCTAAGAAGCATTCCCCCCTCCCCCATACCCCCTTGCGCGCGCCGCCAAACATTGGCGCGTAAGCTGCCCGCGTACGCTCGCGCGTAAGCAAAGCGTGCCGCGCTGGCGGCCCACGTAAGCCGCGGCGTAAGGTCGATACGTCATCTCGCGTAAGGCCCGTTTTCGATCGTCGCTCAAGCGAGAAGCCCATGAGGCGGAGCCGAGCTGGGGAAAAAGGACCCTCTGACGATCCGCGGAGGGGGGCCGTCCAGACCTCTGGGAGGGGGCAGGAGGGGGGAAAACCCATCCCCGAGTGAGGGGAGAAGGGGTCGTGCGGAAGAGAGGGGAGAATCCGCGATACCACCGTCACCCATGGGGGATGGTGGGACTCAAAAAGCTGTCCGTCGTGATTTGTCCACGACGCGGGGGTGGGAATCATCCTCGCCTTCGTCGGGAGGCCTCTGGGAGTCGCCGAGGGTCTCTGGACGTCCGCATTGGCCTCCGCAGATGTCCAGAGGCCCTCCAGAGTTCCCCAGGGGCTCCGGAGACCTCCAACAGGATCTCCAGATGGGGTGTTCCAGAAAGGGCCTCGCCTTCAAGGATCGAGGGAGATGTCCTCTCTTCCTCGGCGGAAGGCAGCGGAAGTGCGGCGGAAGGCGGCGGAAGTAGAACGGCGGCGGCTCCGCCGGCGGAAGCAGGAGTCGACCTCCCAGGAGAGGACAAGGTGTTTGGGTCAAGGCTTCCCCGAATCGGCCATGTGTCTCGGGAGGCTCATGAAGGGAGCCAGCCTGTGCCCAGGGGGTTCACGAGGGCGCCCAGAGCGGCCACAAGGGCCTCTGGAGGTCACCTCGGTCCACCGCTCTCCAAACATCGGCCACCATGCGTGAGGAGCGCGCTCCGGCCAGGATTCTGAAGCGGATCCGGCCGTAGCGTGTCGACGGGGACAAACCATCGGAGATCCTCGAGCCTCGAGCGGGCCCAGCGATACACTGGGAGCTGCCGCGTCTGCCTGCGAAATGGCTGCGCCAAACTTGTTGTGCTTCGCGGTGTCCCCTGAGCGTTCCTCAAAGAGGAGGAGCGCTCAGGGGACACCGCGAAGCACAACAGTTCTCCTCTTCTAAAAGCTGCATTTTCCTCACAGCTCTTGAAGAAGGCACAATGGTTCACGGTCCTCTGTTTCACCGCAGCTTCTGAAGGAGGCGAAGTTGTCCTCCCCAAAGCTGCGCTGGAAAAGAAACCCCAGCCTCGGGGAGGATCTGAGGCGCGTTGAATCCCGCGTCCGATCTATCCGCCGCCACGAGAGCACCCCAGTTGAGGCCTTCAGGAAATCCAAGAATTGCGAAGAACCTCCACCCTTCGAGTATAAGATCGACTCCTCATGGATTCGACGACGAAAATACAAGTCTGGGGCAAATCAATTCTGTAGTCGACCCCCTACTCGAACCATCGAATCCTCGTCGCTCGTCGTCGTCATCGTCGTCGTCATCGTCGTCGACCCCTGGAGGTCTTCGGAGGCCTGCATGGGGGCTCCACCGCAGAAGGCCAGGCACGCCGCCAAAGGCCCGATCCTCGATCGGAGACCTCGCTCCCCGATCCCCGATCCTTCCTCCCGCCCTGCCTCCTGCTGCCCCTCCTCGTCCTCGGCCTCCTCCCCTCTCCTCTTCTCAAGGCCTCCTAGATGGCGTCGGAGCAGATTGGGTCGGAGGATCGTGCCGTATCGCCGATGCATCGGCGATGCGGCTCGATGTGGAGCCCGATTTACTTCACGCCGACGTAGCCGACCCGTCGCCGACGTCGACGATGCGTCGCCGATGCGGCGCGATCCCCCGACCCCGTCTGCTCCGACCCCATCTAGGAGGCCTCTATCTTCTCGCTGGTTTGTTACTTCTAGGATGTTGTTGCCACGAAGCCACTGGTCAGTCTCTGCCGCGTATCGCCATGGAGATGCACTTACTCGAGAGTTGCTGCGGTCGTCCCCTCCCTCATGCTGCCTTCCCCTCAGCAAAAAAATCCTCGATCCCCGACCCTCCTCGATCAGACCTCCCCAGACATCCGACGTCATGATTTTGCTCACAGCGTGGGCCCCCAGAGGTTCGGACCCCTTCCCGGGACCAGTGTTTCGTCCCGAGTCTTCTTGTTAACGGTCCCAGTGGCCTAGTGAGGGATTCCTGAGGCCGAACATGGCCGAATACTTTCCATTGTGCAAAGGCACAGCGGGGGGAGGTCAGGGTCGATGAGACCTTCTCTGTCCATGAGGAGGCTCAAGGTGCCCCCGGCTTGTCGCTCCACTTTGGAGCCTCAAGCTGCCTCCAGCTCATCGCGCCATTTTGAAGTCCGTGGGGCCTAGTCAGGGGTACTTTGCAGGCTACCCGGGTCTCCCCTGGGGAAGGAACCCCGGGGACCCACTTGGGCCAGCCACGCACTTGGCAACACCCATCTGCCCTTTCCCCCCCCACGAGGGCCTCAAGAGACGGGGGGGGAGGCTGTCCACATGAGGGGATGGAGGTGGAACGGCGGGGGTGGGGAGGAAGAGCGAGGACCAGAGGAGGCCTGGGCGCCCTCGGGCCCCTCCTTGGCTCAGCGGCGGCCTCCCGTCATGGCGGCCGACAGTGTGCCCTCCCCGCGGCCGGGGCTCGTGGAGTTCCACCAGTGGGCCGTGGGCTTCCAGCGCTCCCTGGATCGGCTCGCGTCGCTCGTCGCTACGCTAGTCGTCGTCATCGTCGTCGTCGTCGTCCGTCGTCGTCGCTCGTCGTCGCTCGTCGCCGTCGTCGTCGTCGAGCGTTTCTGCCTCTTCGTGGGCGCACGGCCCAGGGTCCAGGGCTTCTCTTGAGGTCCTGGGACTTTTCAGCGTCTTCGAGCCCGGAGGTTTCGCCGGGCTTCGGGCCCCCAGGGGGCCCTCACAGGTCGATCCGGCTCAAAGAGTGGCGCGGAAAGATGGGGTCTGGGGCTCCCCTGAGATCCTGGCATCTCAATTTTTTGAGCTAGGCGTTGTCGCCGTTTTTCGGGCCCCGGGACCCTCACATAGCGATCCGACTCGGAAAATGGCGCAGAAAGATATGGTCTAGGGCTCCAGGCGTGATTGTTCTACGATGTTCCATGTTTTCGCTAGTCGGATCGCAGGGTATGGTTTTCTAGTACCTCACAGAAGTCAGCAGCCGAAGGCGCGTGAACGTCCCTAACAGGTGCAATGCCAGCTCACTCCAGCCTTCCCGTCGGCTTCATCGTGGATGCTGCGCTCGATTATGGCAGCGTGCTGTGCGAGTTGGTTGGCCCACTCCTCCCGCGGGCGTCCCACCCTCTGGGCGCACTTTTGCGTCACAGACATCCGCGTGCCCGGAGATTCTCGTGGTGCTTTCAGGTTTGCTTCGCTACGTCGGACCTCAGGGGTCCTGATTGCCGCGTTCACAGCGGACTGCATCCACAAGAAGCGTGTCGCCATCGAAGTGAAATGAAACGTCCTCGTCGTGTTCGCCATGCCGTGGCCCTCTTCATCGTTGTCGCCGTGTCGCCGTCGCCGTCGCTGTGTCGTCGTCTATCTCGTCGCCGTCGGCGTATCGACGTCGTCGCCGTGTCGTCGTCGCCGTCCCGTCGTCGTCGTCGTCGTCGTCGTCGTCGCCGTGGTTGTCGTCCTCGCCTCCAGTCCTTCTCGAGCCAAGGACGCCCTTGCCGCCAACCACGCCTCCCAGCTGGCGCTCCTGGAGGCGCCAGGAGATGCGCGCCGCGAACCAGAGGAGGACGAGGAGGATGAGGAGGCAGGAGGCAGGAGAGGAGGAGGAGGAGGAGGAGGAGGAGGAGGAGGAGGAGGAGGAGGAGGAGGAGGAGGAGGAGGAGGAGGAGGAGGAGGTGAGGAAGAGGGAGGAGGAGGAGGAGGAGGAGGAGGAGGAGGAGGAGGAGGAGGGGGAGGAGGAGGAGGAGGAGGAGGAGGAGGAGGAGGAGGAGGAGGAGAGGAGGAGGAGGAGGAGGAGGAGGAGGGAGGAGGGGGAAAAGGGGGGGGGGGAGGGAGGAGGAGGAGCAGGGAGAAGGTGGGGACGTGGAGGAGGGAGGCGGGAGGTGGGGAATTCCAGTGCCTGCTCTCTCTCTCTCTCTCTCTGGGCCTCCTGGGGGCGGGCCCTCGCGAACCCGTGCTGGACCCGCCCAGCGAGCCAGGCTCGCCCTGACGCCCTCGCCAGAGTGCGGCCCAGGATAGACCCGCGGGGCCGAGCTGCAAGGCTCGAGGAAGAAAAAACGTGGGCCGAGACGTGGGAGGGGGAGGCGGAAGAAGAGGAGGAGGAGGAGGAGGAGGAGGAGGAAGAAGAGGAAGAGGAGGAGGAGGAGGAGGAGGAGCTAAGCACGTAGACTGAACACGTGGGTCTGACGCGATGCGTTTGCCAGGACGTGGGCCAATACGTGGGAGCCAACACGCAGCGTGTCGGCACGGACGTTTCGAGCGCGGCACGTGTTGCATTTCAGAGCGGGCGTGTCAGGGCAGCTGAGCTCCAGGCATGCCGGGGGCCTGCGCAGCCGGACCGCGCGCGCGCCTTTAGAACTAGAAAAAAACACATAAACAGAAACTTTGGCGCTCCGCGCGGATTTCCTGGATCTGCGCTGGGCCCCCCTGGCGGCGCCTTCGGCGCCGCCCCTAGCGCGCGCAAGGGAGGCGAACGCATCGCGTCAAACCCACGTTTTCAGTCTACGTATTTAGCTCCTCCTCCTCCTCCTCCTCCTCCTCCTCTTGTTCCTCCTCCTCCTCCTCCTCCGCTTCCTCCTCCTCCTCCTCCTAGCCGTTTCGGCTCGAGCTGATTCGGTGACCAGCTCGAGGTTGCACCAGCGTGCTTCGAAGCGGCTCGCTGGTGCGAGCCATATCTTTCACAACGAGGCCCGTCCCATGGCACCCAGCGGTGCCGCAGGCCGCCCCGATGGCAATCATGCGCAATAGACATGTACGGGGAGCTGCGGCGGTTGCCCCAACAGCCTCTCACGTGCGACGTGCAGGAGCTGCGGAGTCAAGGCACCGCCCAAGGTTCTCGCCATGTACAAGGGTTTCGGCCTCAAGCCAGGCGCGCCGCCGTGGCATGCTCAGCCCAAGGCCAAGCCTGAGCCTAAGGCCAAGGGCAAGTTCAAAGCAGGGCTCCGAGGCAGCTTATGGAGTGGAGCGAAAGATTGGAAAGGGCACTTCGGCGAAGCTGGACCGCGTTTACCGCGCGGCAAGCAGGCGCCCATGTCGGCGCGGGAGCGCAATGGGCAGGCTGGATATGCGCACCAGCCTCCGTGGACCAAGAATACGTACACTTCGTCTTGGCAGAGAGGTGCTGGAAGCAGACCAGAGCGACCCAACCGTTGGGCAGCTGGGCCGCCGAAGCTGGGGGATGGAGGCAAGAAGTCTGGCCCCAGCCTCCATGCCACGCACAAGGAGAACAAAGATGACAAGACCGTCGTGGAGTACGACCCCAAGACTGCCAAGACAATGCTGGAGAGCCTGGTCAAAGCGCACGGAGACTACAGGACCAAGTGGCCAGACGGCTGCAAGGACCTGGTGGTCTGCTGGGACAAGGCCGTGGAGTCCGAGGCCAATGGCGACCAACAGCAAGTTCCCAACTACAACGGCACGTCTGTTTTCCAGCTCGGGCAGCGACTGCAGGGCATCAACAAGAAGCTCGACAAGGCGTGGGAGCGACTGCAGGAGCGAAACTTGGAGCTGCAAGAAGCAACCAAAGCCAGAGATGCCGAGCAGCAAATTGTCGCCAAGCATGAAGAGCGAAGGAAGAAGATCAAGGAGGCACAAGCTGAAACGTTCATGCGGGAAGCTGCTGAAGGGCCTTCTCCCGCGGGCAATCCCGCGGTGGCGCTGCGCGGCAAGGTTGCCAACATCCAGAAGAAGACGGGCAGCGAGCACATGCCCAGCTGTCTCGAAGAACTCCTTCCGAGCGCTGCAGCAAGCACTTGAAGCCCTCGAGCAGCTTCTGAGTGACCAGGTGGGAAAGTCACAAGGGAAAGAAAGCGGGGCAGTGCACACCGGGGGCTCTGATAGCGATCATGACGTTGACGATGATATTCTGGGCCACGTGGTCATTCCTGTACCCGACGAAGACGCCCACGAGGGGATATCCTTTCAGGGCGGGCCCAATATCGACGGCGTCTAGGAGAAGGACGAGCTCAAGCGGATCAAGGCCGCCAGGGTACGCCTGCTGGAGCCCCATCGCCGTGGCCAACGCCGTTGCTGCGGCCAAGCGGAGGAAGGTCCGGCCCCCAGCTCCTACTCAAGCTGAAGCAGATGGCAAGTGAGTCGGCCGTGGATCTTGGACGTCGAGTCTGGGGGCACGCGGAATGGAACGTTGCCTTGGCGGTGGGCCAGTTGCACGATGCAGTTGGCAAATGGCATGATGCGCTACGCAGCGGGTGGCCTGCAGCTACCACGCAGCACGGTGTCGACGTGCAGGGTCCGCCCCGTCGGCAGGTCGGCGCCCGCTGAAGTTCCTGGCGGACGCGGGAGGGCGGCGCTTGCCCCCCCCCCCACCCGCTTCCGGCCCATTGTTGGTGTCGCCCCAAGAATGGCCCCGACGGCGCAATGGGCGGCGGCAGTATCGGTGGAAGCGGCGAATCCTTTCGCACGGCTGCCGACGGGCAGGCGGTCGATGCCCGCGCCCAGGGCAGTCCGCTCCACGGGGCCACTGACGAGTGGGCCGCAGCCCCCGCCGATGCGCGCAGAGGCGGCACTATCGCCCACGAAGCTGCACATCGGGCAAGCAGCAGCGCTGAATCCCCTGGTCTGGCGGCCGACGGGCAGGCGGTCGATGCCCAGACACAGGGCAGTCCGCTCCGCGGGGCCACTGACGAGTGGACTGCAGCCCCCGAGGAGGAGCGCAGAGGAGGCACTGCTGCTTGCAGTGCTTCGACGACCTCGACTGGAGGAACTCCATCCACGGTAGTGGCGAGCACGAGAGGCAGGCTTATCAGGACCATGACGGCGTCGGAGGAGGTCGCGGGGAAGCCGGGTCACCAAATTTGCGGCGAAGCTGGGCCCCAGCGAGGTGGGCTGGAGACTCGCGCGCGCCATGCCCATGGAGGAGGTAGCTCGGCTATCACTCGATAGTGGAGCTTCGCCGCTGTCAACACGACGGCAGCGCTGAAGGAGGCAGCGAAGATGACACTGGTCGCCGACGAGGTGTTCGACGCGTCCCCGAACGCGAACGGGGCCCTCTTTCCAGGGCACAAAGTGCTGGGCGATGTGGTAGGCGACGTTGTGCTCCGGCTTCACCACCAGGGTTGGAACAGTCGTCTGCCGCCAGCCCGCAGAGGGACAGGGTGGTCTGCCAGCTCCGAGGTGGCAGCCAGCGTTAGACATGGCATCGCCTCCTCGGCCCCTCCAGACTTCGGAGGAGTTGAGTCACCAGCAAGGAGATGGACTACGCAGTGGGTGGATGTTATGTTACTAGGTGGTTTCATTCTTGCCTCCATCTACGTAGTCTCTGGGCACAAGATCAAAGAGTTCGAGGATGCCAATAAGCGCATGCCCATGACGTGCATGGAGCAGCTCAAGAGGCTTGGCAGGCCCGTTATCATTGGATGTGATTGGAGTTTGATTCCTGCTGAGTTGGAAGACCTCCGAGTGGCGCAGCACGCACCCGCTATGGTCGCCGCGCCGACACGATGGACGCGCGACAGCGGCGAAGGCAGGGCGTTGGACTACTTTGTCGTCAGCAAGCGCTCCAAAGGCCCGGCCACGGACGTCAGAAGGATAGGCGGGCCCCCCATTATTACGCGCTGGTGCGCGGGGCGGGGCGCGCGGGGGGGGGGGGGCAGCGTCTGCATCTGATCGCTGGACATACCACGGCACTAGAGCAGCAGCTCAAGATGCCCACGAAGTCCCCGAAGGAGTGCCCACCAGGAGCACCGCGACCTCCACCGTCGCATCAGAGAACTCATGGAGAACGCGCGCACACGCGTGACAAAGGAGACTTGCAGTGGCGTTATGCGGAGTGTCAGGGGCTTGCTAAGCAGGAGCCCGCTGACCGCTTCCAGCTGGACGATCGCCAACGCAAAGCTTGCCATGGACGTGGAGAGAAGCCATGGCAGAGCTCGAGTTAGTCGCTCGGAAGAAGGGAACGCTTCATCACGCATATGGCGCCGAGCCTCCTATGGCCATGGCTGACCTTACGCACGCGCTGAAGAGGAACTGGGATCGGGACTGCAAGCTCGTGGAGGACAGGCGCAGCTCCATGAGGACACTGAAGAACAGGAAGGTCGGTATAAGGGGCAGCAGTGGGACACCTGGTGCTGCGGATGCGATTGTGAGTTCCCTTTTTTTTTGGGGGGGGGGCGAGACTGGCATAGAGATGCAAGTTGGAGCGCCGCGATGGAAGCCGCCAGAATTCAGCTAGCGTTTGCCAATAGTCGTGTACGACAATGGAGAAGCTAGTCGCTGAGGCTGTCGAGAGTGGCGACAAGAAAGCACACAAATAGTCGAAGCGACCTACATCTTGGCGGCAGGCCGACATTCATCCGACGCTTGGGATACAATCTCACATTTAAAAGTTGAGGCATGACTTGGCGGAGCGGAAGAAGACATGGAGAGCGCGCGATGGAGAAGAGAGCTTCGGTGCTGGGCTACGCTTGCAAATGCCGCTGGCGGAGGCGCACGTGCTGGATGCGGAACAGATCAGGCAAGTGGCCGGCGGTTTCAAGTGTGGCACGGCTTCGGGGGTGGACACCCTCGGGCCCAGGAACACGGCGCCGCTGTCAGATGGCTCGCTGGAGGCCTTTGCTGACACCATGAGGGTCGCGGAAGTTAAAGGTGAGCTCCCGCCGCAGACGAACACCACCATCATGCCCACCTTGCCTTAGCCAGAAGGTGGCCATCGTCTCCTAGGACTGCTCACCGACACCTTGGAGGGCACGCAACATGCGCCACAAGCGGGACCAGGGCGAGTGGCTCGAAGCACACGTCACGAGTTACCATTACGCGACGGCGGGAAGACCGCCGAGCAGGCCACTTGAACACAATCCGTTCTGGCCGAAGCAGGCCTGGCGCCAAAGAAGCGCACGGCCACGGTCATGCTAGACCTCAAGAAGACTTCTGGGAAGTGGGGTGCAGGCATGGCTTCAAGCGGTCGAGGCTCGCCCTGATGGTCAAGTCTGTCTCATGGACCGCGCCGCCCTGCCAGGTGGGCCTCCAGACGAAGACCCCGGCTCTCCTGGGGTTCAGGCGCGAGGGTGCCCGATGGCGGGGCAGCTATCGATTTTTGCCGCATAGACGCCCGTCCTTGTCACGTTGGAGGCGAGCCTTTCCTCCGCAGTGCGCTCCATGGGTAGCGCGGCCCCCGTTGCCGAAGGGTCATGTCTGCCATTCTGTACAAGCACGAGTATTTCTAGGTTGTTGAGGTGGGAGACCCTCTCGACCAGGCAGCCGGAGGGGCGCTGCCTCGGGTCCGCGACGGTCTGTACCTTCTGGCCATCGCTCGCGCTTCTCCTCGAACAGCTCCTGGGTGAAGTCCGGGATCTGCGTCCGCCCCGGGATCGCGGCACTTTGGCCCCGGAAGTCACCGGCCCAGCGGAAGCAGTGCCAGCGGCAACAGGAGCCCTGCAGATAGACTGCCCCCTGTTTCTGGGCAATCATGACCCCGACTGGAGGGTGCGCCCAGGTGCCCTCTTAAAAGTCGCTTCGGTCCTTTGTCGCACGTGCCACACCAGGTCTGCGCCGGGCACTGCGCGGGGGTGAACCTGGGTGCCCCCAGAACACACACACACACACACATACATATATATATATATATATACACATATATATATATATATATATATATATATATATATATATATATATATATATATGTGCATCCAGCGGCGAGGTCGCGGCGCGCTCAGTCAGGTAACGTTTATCCGCGGACGACTCGCGTGTACCGTACCTCGCTGGCGACTACCAAGGCGCCGTGGGCCCTCGACCCAGGATCGGCACGGTGTATAGGTGTTCTTTTGACCCGTCAGAGCCGACAGACTATGCACCGCACCGCGTTGGGGTGGCGCCTGCAGGAAGTCTGGACACGGCACGGCGCATCGGCCCGCCCTGGAAGCTTGGGCGAACTTCCACCCGACGCGGCAGATGAATGGACTGAGATGTTGGCGGTCGCCTGTGGAAGAAGATTCTCGCACCGTCGCGGCGAACATGCGCGCGGCTGCGCGGCGCGGCGCGGCGAGGGGGTCGAGCAGGGCGCGGGCAGGGCCAGCTCACTCAGCGCGGAGGAGCCAGGGTCTGCCCACGAGGAGAACGGGCGGCCGCGTTCGCGAGGGGGCAGTCGCGAGGGGAACGCGGGAGAGGGGGGCGGGAGGGGGAAACGAGAGGGGGGGGGCCGAGAGCACACACGCACACACACACACACACACACAGGGCTGGACCTAGACGCTGCTTTGCTGGACTTCGGCTGTGTTTCGTTATCCGTTTCGGCAGGGAGGTACAGGAAAACAGGTTGGGCCAAACGAAAAACAAAACGAAAACACAACGAAAAACAATGTTGAGGTCCAGCCCTGCACACACATACACATTTTCCCAGCGGCCAATTGGCGTCACTGCAGAGATGGCCAAAGCGGGGCACTTTTGGCGTCAATTGCGCCTGGTTTTGATGATGGGGGTCTGCTACGCAAGTCGTCAACACGCACACACACACGGACACATGTTTCCTCCAACGCGTGGCTGAGTCCCACCCACGGTAGGATGAGCTAGGGATTACGTTCGGCTGGGAATTTGGCCAAGAGTCTGGTTTCAGGGCACTTCAGCTAGGAGTCAACTTCTTCACATGCATACATACACACGCACACAACTTACACACGCATACTTATCATTTTACTCGGCGGCGCAGAGGGTCTTCAGGCGCGAATAGCATATGTAAGATGCACGCACACACACACACACACACACACACACACACATACACACATGGCCTTGGTCAGGAATACTTGGCACATACTCCCCGCTGGTCCAGGCCAAGAGGGTCCGATGGGCGGGTCCACGGCTGGGCGTGGCGCTACCAGTCTCCAACGTCCCCGCTCCTCCACTTCGCCTTCTTCTCGCGCAAACGAGGCGCAAGAGGGTGGGGGGGGAGAGACTCGACGAGGGCACCAGAAGGCTCCCAGGAGACCCGAGAGAGCCCCACCAAGAAGCCCCAACACTGCATTGAGAGGGACCCCAGAAGGGGCCCGAGAAACCGCAACACCCCGTTGTTGGAGGGTAGTCCAAGGAGGCTTGGGGGGTAGGAAAGGGTCCCAGGGCAGTTTTGGGTGGCTCGGGCCACCGTGAGTGAACTTGGGGCCGCCATGGGCCAACACGAGGCGCACTGGGGCCGACTTGAAGCCAGGGAGGAGGGGATGGACTTTGTGGGTCTGACGAGTGCCCCCCAGGTGCTGACGAAGCCAGAGGAGCGCGCCGCCACAGAGGGCGACGCTCCCACGCAGCCCGCCGACAGCGGCGCCGGAGCCAACGCCGTGAGCGGAAGCATCCTGTCTCGAGAGCAGCGGCGCGGCAGCAGTCACAGCAGGACCTCGCTCTCTGAGCTGGCCTCCTCGGACGGCTCCCCGAAGCCCCTGGACCTTGCGCGCGGGGAGAGGCCCAACGGTCAGGGCGCCACCGTCGAGGAGCACGGCTTCTGGACGCGAGATCTCCAGGGGGGCAAATCTTCAGACCTGAGTGCCCTGGTAACGGGAGCAGGCGGTACCGTTACCCGATCCTCCATTGGTTTCACGCGCACCAGCAGCACCCACACGGTCATTGGCGACGTCTACCAGGATCAGAGCAAGGTCAGCCAGCTCTGTCTGGTCAAGCCTGGCTCTGCACAGCACTTGGCGCACGCGGTGTGCTGCCTTACGGTCATGTTGTACGACGTCGTGTCGCTGCCAATGATCGTGGCGTTCGCCTTGGAAGACATGGCAGAGCTGAAGTCTTTGAATTTTGCGGCGTGTGCTTTCTGGACGTATGACATCGCGACCAACTTCCGTTTGGGTTATAATGACCAGGACAGGGTTGAGATGAGGTTCCACAAAATCGCAAGCAGATACATGAAGACATGGTTCGTGTTTGACATAGTTGTAATCAGTTTTGACTGGTTCACATACGTGATAGAGGACATGCGTGGGCTAGGCATTACCCGTGCGATGAAGACACCCCGCATAGTGCGAGTGATATTCCGCACTTTGAGACTGCTGCGGGTGGTGAAGTTGGTGATTGTAATGGAGGAAGCTATGTCTTTCGTTGTTTCCGACTGGCTGAACAGCACGATTGGCATCGTAAAGATGTTGTTCGGCATGATATTGTTCAATCATTTCGTTGCTTGTTTCTGGTACATCGTGGGCGACGTAACCAAGGAACACTCTCACGGATCCTGGGTTTCGGATTTTGATCAGGAGCATGATCCTTCACCTAGCGTGATACATCGGTATGTAACGAGCTTCCATTGGAGTATGTGTCAGTACACTCCGGCACCAAATAACATTCACCCGTCGAATTTCCCGGAACGTCTTTACGCTTGTATTACACTGTTGTTTGGCATCGCTGTGTTTTCGACTTTCCTCGGCAAGATTACAGGTCTGCTGACTCATATGGGCGGTGCTGCCTTCGAGAAGTCAAAAAACAACCAGAGCATGAGGGTGTACATGTCTTCAAACATGATTTCTCTGGGAACTGTTAAACGCATCAACACCTTTTTGAAAAACCGCCTGGAAAAGAGAAGGATGCTATCTTACTCTGAAGTCAAGAACTTCGAGCAGCTTCCAGAATCCCTCGCAGCGGAGCTCAAGTATCAGTCGAATCGCACATGCGTCTGCACCCACTCACTGCTATGTATGATGCGCAAGTCGGATGCAGTCCTCGAGAACTACGACTTCCTCTTCAGGCTGCGGCCGCAAGACCAGCATGGTCGCAAAGGCATGCATGCAGCGCAGTCGTGATAGACGCCCCGTGAAACCATGATGGCTGGCGTGCCAACCCGACCCCCCGACACAAATTGAGCGATGCAAGAAAACGGGGTCGTCTTCGCCGACATTAGCGCGTAAGCTGCCCGCGTAAGGTCGCGCGTAAGTGCCCTCGTCTCCGGTGCAACGTCCCGCGCTGGCGGCCCGCGTCAGCCGCCGCGTGAGGTCGCTATGCAAATTGCGTAAGACCCGTTTTTGATCGTCGCTCAATTGAGGTTGCCGTGCGCCGGGCCCACCCCTGGAAAGAAATTGCGGGCGACCGCGCTCCTTCAGACCCGCCACTCCGAGCCCCGCTGGCTGCTGCGGACGAAGCCAACGACACTCCTCCCTTCCCATCTGGTCCCAGCTCGAAAGAGTAGTCAGGCGATAGTTGGTAGTTTCAAGCCTCCCCAAACCTCCCGGAGAGGGCCAGAGCTGGATCTTCTCCATCGGACATCGCCGATGCATCGGCGAAGCGGCGCGGCATTCCGACCTCATCGACTCTGGGAGGCCTCCAGGGGCCTCCGCGGGAGTCCCCGAAGGCCTCCCAGGGTCCTGGGAGGTCCCCGGATGTCCTTGAAGGTCTCTTGGGGCCAACCAGGGGCCCAAGATTTCCCAAAGCCTGGAATCTCTCCATACAGCCCACCCCCCCGACTCCCGCTTGGGAGGCCTTCCCCTTTCAGGCTGTGCAGCAGCGGCCTCGAAGAGGTGTCTCTGAAGTGGGGCGACGAGCTGCTCCACCGCGGCCTCCCCGCCACGACCATGGTCTTCGTGAAGAACGGCGTGCTGGAGTACTCCCAGAAGGTGCCGGGCGGCGCGCGATGGCGTCGTCGACGTCGTCGTCGCTCGGGAGGCGCTTTGGAGCGTCGCTGGAGTAGGAGGACGAAGAATGACATAAACATAAAACTCGGAGGCGCCGCCAGGGGGGTCCAGCGCCGATCCGAGAAATCCGCGCGGACCTCCGAGTTGTGATGTTTCTGTCGTTGTTTGTTGCCCTATCTTAGCGGGAGAAGAACGGTATAAAATGAAGTGTTCCGTCACTTGCGGCGCTGCCCCTGAGCGGCTGGCAAGTTCATACCTCTACGGTGCCACGATCAGGGTGTGAACTTTCCAGCCGCCCTGGGACAGGCGTCACCGACGGCGAAATAGCTTATGTTATACCGTTCTTCGCCGTTAGGTTTAGGTCGGGCCTGTCTCTCAGCAGGAGGAATTCGAAAATGGTTATAAATAGTCTGGGGGCGATATTGTAACTACTGTTGACAAGTTTGAAGGGTTTAGGGGGGAATGTTACCTAACAGCGAAGACTGATAAGGTTTCTAATAGGGTCAAAAGAGAGCATCATGACTCCCCAGGGGGGTCCAGGCGACATCCAGACGCGGAAGTCGTTTTAAGCAAACAGTTACACGCTTCGTGGTCTTCGAGGTCCCAGAACTCCATTCCCGGGCCACATTCTCAATGCCCGGAGCCAACTGTAGGCCACTTCGTGCTCTTCGAGTTCCCAGAACTCCATTCCCGGGCCACATTTTGAATGCCCAGAGCCAACTGTCGGCTATTTTGTGTTTTTCCCAACCATACTGTGGTGTTGGGTCCTCGTTTTGAAGAGACGGTGCCCGCGTCCTCTCCTCTCCTCCTCTTCCCCCTCCTCCCTCCTCCCTCTCATCATCATCATCATCATCATCATCATCATCATCATCATCATCATCATCATCATCATCATCATCATCATCATCATCATCATCATCATCATCATCATCATCATCATCATCATCGTTCTTATCACCATCGTCGTCATCATCATCGCCGTCTCCATCATGGCCACACGTTTCGTGGACCCATAGTGAGCTCCACCGAAGGCCCCAGTGGCAAGGTCCGCATGCGGTTCCACCTCCATTTCGGCGCACCCCTCACACGTTCCGTGGCCCCATAGGGAGCTCCACCGAAGGCCCAAGTGTCAGGGTCCGCATGCGGTTCCACCTCCATTTCGGCGCACCCCTCACACGTTTCGTGGCCCCATAGGGAGCTCCACCGAAGGCCCCAGTGTCAGGGTCCGCATGCGGTTCCACCTCCATTTCGGCGCACCCCTCACACGTTTCGTGGCCCCATAGGGAGCTCCACCGAAGGCCCCAGTGTCAGGGTCCGCATGCGGTTCCACCTCCATTTCGGCGCACCCCTCACACGTTTCGTGGCCCCATAGGGAGCTCCACCGAAGGCCCCAGTGTCAGGGTCCGCATGCGGTTCCACCTCCATTTCGGCGCACCCCTCACACGTTTTCGTGGCCCCATAGGGAGCTCCACCGAAGGCCCAGCATGCGGCAGCACCGCATCGGTTCCACCTCCATTTCGGCGCACCCCTCACACGTTTCGTGGCCCCATAGGGAGCTCCACCGAAGGCCCAAGTGTCAGGGTCCGCATGCGGTTCCACCTCCATTTCGGCGCACCCCTCACACGTTTCGTGGCCCCATAGGGAGCTCCACCGAAGGCCCAAGTGTCAGGGTCCGCATGCGGTTCCACCTCCATTTCGGCGCACCCCTCACACGCTTCGTGGCCCCATAGGGAGCTCCACCTGAGGCCCCAGTGGCAGGGTCCGCATGCAGCCACAGTTCCACCTCCATTTCGGCGCACCCCTCACACGTTTCGTGGCCCCATAGGGAGCTCCGCCTAAGGCCTAAGTGGCAGGGTCCGCATGCAGTTCCACTTCCATTTCGGCGCACCCCTCACACGTTTCGTGGCGTCATAGGGAGCCCCGCCTAAGGCCCAAGTGGCACGGTCCGCATGCAGTTCCACCTCCATTTCGGCACACCCCTCACACGTTTCGTGGCCCCATAGAGAGCTCCGCCTAAGGCCCAAGTGGCAGGGTCCGCATGCAGTTCCACCTCCATTTCGGCGCACCCCTCACACGTTTCGCGGCCCCATATGGAGCTCCACCGAGGGCGCCAATGGCAGGGTCCGCATGCAGTTCCACCTCCATTTCGGCGCACCCCTCACACGTTTCGCGGCCCCACAGGGTGCTCCACCGAAGGCCCCAGTGGCAGGGTCCGCATGCAGTTCCACCTCCATATGGCGCACCTCTCACACGCTTCGTGGCCCCATCGGGTGTTCCACCAACGACGATACTTACAACAGCGGCATTCGGAATTGCGTATGGTTGGGCCCTTCGCCAGGATAATTTTTGAATTTTTAGAACTTTATTTTCGGATCACATTTTGAATGCCCAGAGCCAACTGTAGGCCACTTCGTGGTCTTCGAGTTCCCAGATTTTCACTCTTGGGCATGATTTTGAATGCCCGGAGCCAACTGTAGGCCATTTCGTGTTCTTCGAGTTCCCAGAACTCCATTCCTGGGCCACATTTTGGATGCTGAGGCAGGTTGATGCTGAGGCTGAGGCAGGCTGAGGCTGAGGCAGGCTGGGGCTGAGGCCGAGGCTGAAGGCAGACTGAGGCTGAGGCTGAAGCAGGCTGAGGCTGAGGCAGGCTGAGGCTGAGGCTGAGGCTGAGAGCAGGCTGATGCTGAGGCAGGCTGAGGCTGAGGCTGAGGCTGATGCAGGCTGAGGCTGAGGCAGGCTAAGGCTGAGGCCGAGGCTGAAGGGAGGCTGAGGCTGAGGCTGAAGCAGGCTGAGGCTGAGGCTGAGGCAGGCTGAGGCAGGCTGAGGCCGAGGCTGAGGCAGGCTGATGCTGAGGCAGGCTGAGGCTGAGGCTGAGGCTGAGGCTGAGGCTGTGCAGGCTGAGGCTGAGGCAGGCTGAGGCTGAGGCCGAGGCTGAAGGCAGACTGAGGCTGAGGCTGAAGGCTGAGGCTGAGGAGGCTGAGGCTGAGGCAGGCTGAGGCTGAGGCTGAGGCAGGCTGATGCTGAGGCAGGCTGAGGCTGAGGCTGAGGCTGATGCAGGCTGAGGCTGAGGCAGGCTGAGGCTGAGGCCGAGGCTGAAGGCAGACTGAGGCTGAGGCTGAAGCAGGCTGAGGCTGAGGCTGAGGCAGGCTGAGGCTGAGGCTGAGGCAGGCTGATGCTGAGGCAGGCTGAGGCTGAGGCTGAGGCTGAGGCTGATGCAGGCTGAGGCTGAGGCAGGCTGAGGCTGAGGCCGAGGCTGAAGGCAGACTGAGGCTGAGGCTGAAGCAGGCTGAGGCTGAGGCTGAGGCAGGCTGAGGCTGAGGCTGAGGCAGGCTGATGCTGAGGCAGGCTGAGGCTGAGGCTGAGGCTGATGCAGGCTGAGGCTGAGGCAGGCTGAGGCTGAGGCCGAGGCTGAAGGCAGACTGAGGCTGAGGCTGAAGCAGGCTGAGGCTGAGGCTGAGGCAGGCTGAGGCTGAGGCTGAGGCAGGCTGATGCTGAGGCAGGCTGAGGCTGAGGCTGAGGCTGGCAGGCTGAGGCTGAGGCAGGCTGAGGCTGAGGCCGAGGCTGAAGGCAGACTGAGGCTGAGGCTGAAGCAGGCTGAGGCTGAGGCTGAGGCAGGCTGAGGCTGAGGCTGAGGCAGGCTGATGCTGAGGCAGGCTGAGGCTGAGGCTGAGGCTGATGCAGGCTGAGGCTGAGGCAGGCTGAGGCTGAGGCCGAGGCTGAAGGCAGACTGAGGCTGAGGCTGAAGCAGGCTGAGGCTGAGGCTGAGGCAGGCTGAGGCTGAGGCAGGCTGAGGCTGAGGCTGAGGCAGGCTGAGGCTGAGGCTGTGACTGCGACTGCCGTTGCCACTGCGACTGTCATCGCGAATGCGACTACGTCTGCGAGAACAGCAGAATTCTACAACTGGATTCTCATCTGAATCGTAAGGGGAATGCTTCCAGATATGTTCCTACACATCGCTGTTAGGTTGCTTTGCCGGGATAATTTTATTTTTCGCCCAGAATCCCTTTGTAAGGAGACATGCCTGACCTGACGCTGGGTCATCGTCGCCACGGCCGGACACGGCTCGCGATCGACCACCGGCCAGGGTGGCCCCCGGGATGCGCCCAGGAGTTGCTTGTCAGCGGCATCCCCCCAGGAGGGCGTCCCGCGCCTTGGGCGCCCCCTCGCCGTCCGAGGTGCCTCCCAAGAAGCGTCCGGGCGTAAGCTTAGGTCGGGCCTGTCCCTCTACAGGAAAAAGATTCGAAAATCTTCAAAAAAAACAGTCTGGGGGCGATGTTTGCATTATTCCCCACATCCTAAGTGGGGTTTTTGTTCCCCACATCCTAAGTGGGTTTCTTGTTTTCTGTGGACACCCCGCGCAGTCCTCCCTCACCCCCTCTCTCCCTCGTCATCACTCACCCTCACTCACTCCTCCACTCATCATCAGAATCATCATCATCATCATCATCATCATCATCATCATCATCAGCAGCATCATCACCAATCACACATTCACTCACACTCACTCAATCACACACTCACACGCTCACTTCTCATCGTCACCATAACTATCATCACTCACTCACTCATTCATTCACTCACTCACCATCATCATTCACTCATAATTTCGTCATCATTCACCCCCTGGCATGACAACGGAGGATGTCCCAGGCGGGAGCCTCGTCTGTGAGTGGATTGCGAGGACGTCTCAGGCGGGAGCCAACTCCCTAAGGAGCCCGCGCTTCATGTTCGAATCCGAGGCGGGTCATCAGCATCTTGTAAGTGTCGTCACTTTTGGGTTCCTCAAGCTTGAACATGGAGGAAGTATCAGGCGGGAGCCTCGTCTGTGAGTGAATTTTCAGCAAGTTTCAGTCTGGAGCCCACTCCCTAAGGGGCCCGCGCTTCACGTTCGAATCCGAGGCGGGCCATCGGCATCCTGTAACTGTCGTCATTCCCAACCATCCGGTGGTGTTGGGTCCTCGTTTTGAAGAGACGGTGCCCGC